CTGTGGGCCCCGGATGTCAGGCTTTTGAGCTGAACCGTCATGGGGTCTGCAGGCCCGGGAATAGCCCTCAGTTTCAGGCTGAAAAGGCTCAGGCCCATTTTGGCTGAAACGATGCAGGTCCTGTGGGCCCCGGATGTCCGGCTTTTGGGCTGAACCGTCCAGGATTCTGCAGGCCCTTATTTCCAGGCCTTGAGCCTGAAATTCAGGCTTCCAGCCTGAACGACGCAGGGCCAGGAAAATGGCCCTCGTGTGCAGGAGCAGCATGTAACACCCCCCCCTCCTTATGAAGTCAAGCCGGGTCGGGGGCGCAGCCAACGATCTGAAGGTGGAACCTGGACGCGGTTGCGACGTGGAGCCGAAGATGCCGGCTTGTCTTGCATCTTTCGTTCATACCGTACGAGAACATCTGGAGCTGTCGCTTGGAATTCCGCACGAGTCAACCAGCGGTCGGCTCGGTGGGTGCAATACGCAAAGTGTACCAGATACTCGGTTGGCTTGTTGCCGTAGCGTCGCTGGGAAATGATGTCACCGACCTCTTGAAAGTCGTCCATAGAGGGTGGGTCTTGAGGTCGTCGCCCGGGAAAGTCATCCTAGTCTGCTGGTGTGTACAACGCCAACTTGGAGCAATGGAAAACCGGGTAGACGGGCAAGTGGGAGGGCACCTGAACTGTGAAGGACGGTCCCTCAGGTGCATCCCCAGCAGGTGCTACAATCTGCCATGGCTCCATCCATTTCGGGAGGATCTTGCGAGAGATATCCTGCTAAAGGCTGAATTCCGCGGCGGAAACCCACACGAGGTCGCCGACGCGAAATGGACAAGGAAGACGCTGGTGATTGGCCTGCTGGCTCATGCGTTGCTGCGTCTTTGCCATCTGATTGCGTGCCTTGACAAGAAGCTCTTGCATCCGGCGCAAGAAAAGGAGATGGTCGTCGCTCTCGGCGTGCGTGGAACGATGGTGTCCAGCGGAGAAGTGACCGGAGAGCCATGCTCAAACTCGAAAGGCGACATCCCGATAGCCGGGTGGATGGACGAATTGTAGGCCAATTCGACATCCGGCAGCTGCTCAACCCAATCCTTCTGATCGGGACGGATGAGAGTGCGAAGAAGAACTTGTGCCGTCTGGTGCACCCTCTCTGTCTGGCCATCCGTCTGAGGGTGGCGAGCTGAACTAGGCTTGAGAGATGAGCCCCATCGTTTGGTGAGTGCCAACCACAAATCAGACATGAACTGAGTGTCGCGGTCGCAGACGCTTTCCTTGGGGTAACCCTTGGTTCGAATCCAACCGGCGTAGAGAACCTCGGCCAATTCTGGTGCCTTAACATAATAGCGACAAGGCAAAAACATGGCAAACTTGGTGAGCCGATCGACTACCGTGAGAATCTCATCCACACCAGTCGTGTGCTTGGGGAATGGTCCAGTGATATCCATGGCAATCGCCTCCCGTCGGCCCAAGGGAACCGGTAGTGGTCGCAACTCGCCATACGGGACGATGATTGCGGGATTTGCAACGCCGACAAATCTCGCATGACTCGAAGTAGCGTGTGACGTCGTCGAGAAGACCGGTCTACCAAAATCGCTCGCGAAGTCAGCCAATTGTTCGATTGACGCCAAAATGTCCGGTGGCGGGAGCATCGTGGAACTCGCCAAGAAGCTGTGTACGCAAGTAAGGGTCACTCGGTACGCAAAGAAGATCCTTCCCCCGCGAGTGGACGAGCAAATATCCCTCCTGGATCCGGTAGTGGGAAGGTGCCGGATTGGGTGAGGAACAATTCGCGTACTTGTCGCGAAACTCGGGGTCGGCCTGGTAGCCGCGGATGAAACTGTCTCGCAAGTGGTCATCAATCTCGAACGTCGAGTAGACCGCGGTGCAATGGTCCGGACGCCGTGAGAGAGCATCCGTAAAACGCTTCGACTTGCATGGAATGTGATCGGGGAAAAAGTCAAACTGGTCAATGAAGGTCATCCAGCGGGCAATGGTGTTGTTGACTCTGTCCTGAGTCTTGTAAAAGACCAACGGGTTGTTGTTCGTTACCCATCGGAACTGCCGTCGACCAAGAAGGAAATGCCGCCAGCGCTTGAGTGCGTGTAGGAATGCCAATAACTCCTTTCGTGCATCATCAATAGAGTGCACGGCGGGCACTTTCTTGCTAAAATACTCGACCGGGTGCCAGTCCACGCCATCGTGTTATTCGAGGACTGCACCAATGCCATAGCCGGATGCATCAGTAGTGACGCGTGTGGGCAATAGCGGGTCGTAGATCCGCAAGACCTCCGCTGAGAAAAGTGCAGCTTTAAGAGCTAAGAAGGATTCCCGCGCATCCTCGTCGAAGTCAAACGGTCGATCCTCGCATTGAAGCTTGGTCAAATGGGCCGCGATCTTCGAATAGCCGTTGATGAAGCGCTGATAGTAGCCGGCAAGACCAAGAAACGAACGGACATCCGTGACGTTACGCGGCTCCGGCCACTCCTGGATGGCTTGAATTTTCTCCGATAGGGGGCTGATGCCCTCCGGTGTGACAAAATGGCCCAAGTACTCAAGCTCTTGCCGGACGAACTCACACTTGTCGCGGTTGGCTTTGTACTTGGCACGGCGGAGCGTCTCCAACACTCGTCGAAGATGCTCAAGATGATCCTCCAAGGTCCGACTATAGACGAGAATGTCGTCTAAGTAGACCAGCACAAAACGATCCAGCATCGCACGAAACTCATTGGTCATTGTCGCTTCGAAGGTTGTCGGGGCATTGGTGAGGCCAAAAGGCATGACCACCCACTCAAAATGCCCATACCGTGTCTTGAATGCGGTTTTGTAGCAATCATTCGGGCGTATCGAAATTTGATGATACCCCGACTTCAAGTCCAACTTAGAAAAGAACTTAGCACCGCCCAATCGCTCAAGAAGGTCGTCGATACGAGGAAGAGGCCCCGCATTCTTCACAGTTTGTGCGTTGAGCTTGCGGTAGTCGATGCACAGTTGTAGATCCTTGTTCTTCTTCCTTACGAAGAGAACCGGTGCTCCATATGGGGAGCTGCTAGGGCGGATCCAGCCCTTGGCCAACAAGTCGTCGAGTTGTGCGCGAAGGACCTCCAGTTCCTCCTCGCTCATCCGATAGATGCAACCTTTCAGCGGCACGACACCGGCCTCAAGAATGATCTCGTGAGAGATCGGCCGATCCGGCACCACACCGGTAGGTGACTCGAAGATGTCGGCGAACTCGTCAAGCAGCCGTACCACACGGGGGTCCGAAGACAAGTCCGATGGTGAAAAGTCGGCTACCTCGACGGTCCGCAAGAAACATGGGCCTATCTCGTCGGGTTGCTCATATGCACATGTAGCCCAGAACGATTTGGCCGTCACGACTTGGCACCGGATCGAAGGGTGCAGAAGAGGAATAGTACACGGCACCTCGGCGTCGAAGGCGTCGCGAACGGTGAGAGTCCGCTGGTGAAAGTTGACCGTGTGATCCGCACTTGCGAGCCAAGGCATTCCCAGGATGATATCGAAGTCTGTGTCCAAGATGTCGAACGTGACCGGTTCGCACGCATGAGGTGCGAAGTACACCGGTACAGCCTTGATGTAACGGTCGAGAAGTTGCTGCGTCTTTCCATCCGCCAACTTGATCGCCGTCGGGTTTGCCTTCCTTCGAACCTGCGCGCCGAGGCCAGCCCTTTGCATAAAGGCTTGGCTCATGAAGTTGCGAGTCGCGCCGCTATCCAGCAAAGCGCTGCAGGACGCTTGCCCAACTTGGATGCGGACATACATCAGCGGTGCGTTATTGTCATCGTACTGCTGTGTGCGAAACTCGCGGGCCACCTTGGTAACATATGCCAAGATGTCCCTCACCGCGACCTCGTCATCCGTCGGCGAAGTTGGTGATGCATAGAAGGACAAGTACTTGTGAAGATGGGCGGAAAGTGCTGCGCATTGCGGTCCCGGCAAGCGGCCCGTGGTCGGGAGAGAAAACCATGCGAAATCCTCAGACATGAGCGGGTTCAATTCCTCTATGTTGAACTCGCGCGCCGAATCCCGTAAAAAATGACTTGAAGACGAAGAAGAACCGTTGTCGAACGGAGAAGATGCCGCACACACGTCTTGTCCTTGAGCAAAAGTTTCCAGCGTCGGAACGAGTCGGGCAGCATAGTCCTCAAAAGAATAGAGAAAAGGAATATCGACTTCCGCATGCGCCTCGGAATGAAGGCCGGTCACTCGCGAAGAAGCCGGGTCTGAAGGCGTCGAGAGTGTCGTCGACGCACTCTCGGCGGCGCTCAGTTTCCCTGCTTGCCCTTCCCCTTGGTAGGGCAGCCCGCTGTCTGGTGGCAGTCGCTGTTGCACCACAAGTAGTAACGGTATTTCGTGCATTGCTTGTAAGCTTGCTCCGAAAGACCGTAAGGGGTCCAGGGCCCCTGAGCTGCTGCGCCGGACCCGGGGTTTAATGTGGTGTTTGTCTTCGCTTTGCCGCGTCCTCGGCCTCGGCCGGGGTGGCCACCATCCCGGGCAGCTGCGAGTCTGTCTCCTTCATTGGCAGACTCCGCCTCGCTAGATTGGCTGCTTGGCGATGGCGCCGCAACCACGGCCACCTTGGGCCGATGCTGGTCCTTGCTCGGGCCTGCCGCAGCACGAGTGAGGTTCTTCGCCTCCTTGTTTGTGACGATAATCTGCGCGGTCAGTGTGTCCTCAACATGCGTCAAGGCGTTGCTCAACGCCGGGCACGACCTTGAAATGAAGTATTGCTTGATGGCTTTGAAGCCCATCGGGAGACCTGGGACGGATGTCAAGCGTTGGTACTCGGCAATCCAGTCGACGCTTGGCAGTGAGCCTTTCTCGAAGGTCATGAGCTTGTCCATGGCCTTGATCTCCGGCGGCTCCGCCTGGAACCGTTTGTGCCACGCCGCCTTGAGGTCTTCCCAACTAATTTTCGTGTGTAACTCGGCAGCGACCACCCCGTACTGGGACAAGAGATTGTCCAGCCATGCCTGGCATGCGCCTCCCGACCGGGAGTATAAGTACGCGTGGTGCTTGCATTCGCTGACGAGATGCAGCTGCAACGTGAGTTCAAACTTGCGGAACCACTGAACTGGATCCATCTTTGTTGAATCGCAGAAGATCTCCTGACCGTCAAACTTGGGAGTTGACTCGCGCTGTCCCGAACTCGGGCTGGCGGCGGCAGCATAGACCCGCTGCTCCAATTGTTGAGTAGCGGTTTGTTGTAGTCGTGCACCGTCCTTGAGTGCGCTGACGTCAGTCTCCAATGCATTGAGGCGGTCTGATGTGTTGGAGGAGCTTGCCACAGGGGCGGCGGGGGGTCGTTGCTCCAGCTGCTGTACGCAGCTGCGAACACTCTTGACTTCGGCATCGAGGCTGTGAATGTCCTCCTGCTGCGCGATGCATGTCGTCAGGAGGTCCGTGAGATGGAAAGGAAGGAGGGCAATCTTGTTCTCTCTCTCCTCCATCTTCCCTGTCTCCATCTCAGTTCGCCATTCTACTGCCAATGTGAGTAATGCTTGCTCCCCGCTGAAAATCTTCTCACGCCGCTTCAATCGTTCTTCATCTGCAGCCTTCGCTGCTGCCTCGGCCTGCAGACGCTCCTGTTCAAGAACTAGCAGTCGTGCCTGCTCGACTTCCTCCGCCTTTTTCTTCTCTGCGGCTGCTACTTCATCCGCCCGCTGCTTGGCTTCTATGATCAAAGCCAGCATGCGGTCCTGATATGCCTCCGCCGTTTCCCCCAGTTTCTAGTCCAGGACGGCTGTCTGCGAGCGAGTCAGCATAAACAGGTCCGGGTGGCTGACGTGGCACTTCCTATTGACATGGCCTGCTGAGGTGGTCTGCTGACGTGGTCTGCTGACGTGGCCCGCTGACGTGGCAACTTACCAACGCCACCACAGGGAATACCCAGGATGGATGAAGAAGATGAGATCAGAGGTGGCAAACAACGTAGATAGGGAGGGAGGGTGGGGTAGATCGCCCAGATAAGGAACCGCTAATCAAAACAGAAAAGTTTGAACTTTGCAAGTTGACGAAAAAAAAGAGAAAAATATTTGTTTGCAAGTTCAGCAAGCTTGCGCAATCCCCGAAGTACGAGATACAACTGAAAAAAATTCGACTTCCAGACTGCAAATGATTACAAAAAAAGATTCGGATTTGCTTTAATGAGAGTATGCGCAGCTTGGAAAGTATCACTGCCAAAGAGATTCCCCGTACCGTTTTGGAAAAAAAAACGAACTTCGAAAAAAAATATTCCGAATTTTTGAAGTACGGGAATCTGCAAAATCGAGATTTTCAAAAACAGGTATTCAAGATTTCTAACAGCGAAATTTCGACAAGACAACAGAAATTTCAGGAGTTGTGCTACTGCGATTTTTCCACAATCAGAAATAACGGAAAAACGAAATTCAGAAAAAAAAAAGAAAAATTTCGATTTTTGGCAGTTGGATCAAAATCGTGATTTTGGGGATTAACTAGTGTGCTCAACCAACCAATAAGTCAGTCGAGTCTTCTTCACCAGCTAACTCCCCGTACACGTGTCAGATCAGGTAGTCCTGATTCACGTGCGGTGCTCTGGTACCAACTGTTACATGCTAAGTTGGGCTATGTATTCAGCCAAGGTATCCGCAATGTGATAAAAAGGACTGAATGAACAAGGTACGGTTAGTGAAACATCAACAGACAATGTACATCCCGATACATGAAAAATGGCATTTGATAGCACAGCGGAAGACTTTGAGATAAGTCCTGACCTGACCTGGACTGTTACGACATCCCATCATACATCACACATGTGAGAGGGAGAGGAGKGACYGCATGCATAGACGAAGGTCCCTCCTGCATACACACATGGGGAGATACCAYGGATGAGAGATGGAGGGGGAGGGAAGGACGAAGATGGAGGCAAGGGAGAARACTAAGATCGCAATAGYGGAGTTCAGAATAGTYCCTAGCYGAAGTCCAACCAATGTCTGCCCAAAAATGTCGAACCAGATCCTGGGCCCAATGCCCGTGACAATCCCTGCCTGTAACCTCTGCAAGTAACCACTCTCA